CCAGATAGGCTCCGGGGTGGTCTGGGGCGGCCCCGCACCAGGGTTCCACCAGGGTTCCACCAGGGTTCCACCAGGGTTCCACCAGGGTTCCACAAGGTTCTGCGAGGGCTCTGGGGTGCGAGCACTAAAAAGAGCACCGCATGCTGTTGGGGATATCACCTGAGATTATTCTTGTCTTGGGGAGCGGGGCCGAGCGGGGACAGAGTTTTTATTCATTTGGGGGGATGGTCTGTTTTGTTGGGTTTCCCAAACAAAAGGGGCCAGAAACAGAGAAAATTGGGGGGTAAGGAATGGGTTTTGCAATTTTCCCTGGAAAACAGAAGCCCAAACGGCTGAAGCCTCGCAGGTACACGCATGACTTGATATGCACAAACTCCGCACCAGCCGCTCCAGACAATTTGTCTGCCAACAATCGGACAACTCACCATGCTGTGGCGACATGAAAAGCCCAATGTATTCCACTGTGGCCGGCCGATCTGCGATCTTCTTCAAGATGGCTCTGCGTGTTTGTTTAACGTTCCTCGCCAAGCTCACCTCTGAATCAGTTCACGCAAAGGAATGTTCACCATGGGTGAGCATGGTCGAATGGGCAACCCGTATATCATTCCAAAATCATTTACCTACCCACCCCACCCCACCTCACCCTACACCCCACCCTGCACCCCACCCTACACCCCACCCTACACCCCACCCACCCCACCCCACCCCACCGCACCCTAAAACCGTTTCCCACATGATGTCTCATCAGATTCTGAGTCCCTGCTACGCGGTGAGCTTGCATTGGCTTGCTACAAGCGCATAGGACAAATTAACTCCTCCCTCAATGCTTCATGGAGTCGGCTAAAGCAAAGTAGCTACTAACAAACACCAACCAGCCCCAGGAGTAGTACGATCCTCCAGATTAATCCGATGCTAACATTACTTGGAACCCATTGATGAAGACCTTTTGCGTGAACATTGATGTCCACCAAACGTATCTGTGAAACCCTTGTTTGGCAGCCAAGCAAGACGAGACAGGGGTCATGATACTTCCAATCACACCAGTGCAAGGACAACCATCCACATTTCATAAGAGGGGTCTGGAAAAAACACCTTTTTGTCTAAGACGATCAAGCACCTCCCACTCTGCCTGGAGCAATCCACCTGGCGCAAGCGCGCCCCCACCACGCCCAGCGGGTCCTGCCGAGCTTCATCCGCGGGGTGGGGGGGGAACTCCATTTCTCGAATCTTCCCAATAGGGAAAAGGGAATAAACGGAATTCCAAGGGTCACTCCCTCCCCAAATTCGGTTTATAAGGGGCACGGTCAATCTTCTTTGTGTCCCGCTATGACATGGGAGCATGGTCAAAGACCCCAGTTTCTGCTGAACGCGCCCAAGATCACCCGCAGTAGATGACACCAAATCTTGAGTGGTTGGAGGCTCCAAAATACATGGGGGCTTAAGTCCACCAACCCTTAAGGGTTGTTCACATGTCTTTTTGGGGGACCCCTTTTTAGGTTGTTTTAGAGGGAAACCCAAAGAAAACCACGGGCTCCCCTCGTCGAAGTTGCCCAATTTCAATGTTGGAGCCTTGCAACTGTGTGCTCGCAGGGTTCAAAGTGGCCAGCTGCCTGGCTTCCAGAAGGCTGCATTGGGGTGCTGAAATGATTTGTCAGTGCGCATTGGAATCCACTCCAATTTCTTCTCCTTACCCTGCAAAAGGCTCAAAATCGGGGAAGATGATTGCAATAAAGAAAGCCCTGAACAGCCCTGAGGCCATGAAACGAGGCGTGCCCCCCAAGCAACGTGTGACAGGGAACTACTGAGCCTGGTGCGGGCTGTGGGAGGCAAAGGCTTTTTTGAAGCGGATTCCAGTGGTATCCATTGACAGCTTCTTGCCAGACATCTCAAAACCACAAGGAAACCCCTTGCATGATCAGACCCCCATGATCAGCATCCCGAAGTCCTGGAAGCCCCAAAGCACAAGTATGGCTCTTAAGCCGTATTTAGGGATCATCTAGGTTGAATCCCGCAATTTACTCCTTATCCGTTTACCCCTTCTTGACTCTATTTTGAGATTTACCCTTCATTGATTCAGAGCCACAAGAGAAGCCCATTGCAGCCGCATCAAAAGCGCCAAGGTGATACCCTTCACACACGATTCAGAGCCACAAGGGATCCCATCAGCGATGCCCATTGCGCCCAGCCGAATCAAAAGCGAAATCCGCGATTCGACTCGTCAAAAGCCAAGGATGGGCCATGACCTTCCCTGAATGGGTCCGATAAATCCAAAAGTCGCCACCACCACCGATAGGAAACCACGCTAAAAGCTTATAACTTTCAGCGGGTCAAATGGAACACCCCACTAAACGCTCAAAGGTTAAAATGCTAAGGGCCTGGATCGCCAGTTGCTGATTTTCCTTTTTCCCCCATGCACTTTACAGTACCCAGAAGAAAACAGCGACAGTGACCGAAAAAAAAGTGGCTATCTAGGTACCCTCGAAAGAGGACAACAGCCATGTGCAGGCCGGAATGGATGAAGCGACCAGGTGTGCAGTGTGGTCAAAATGCCGGAGGGGAAGCGGGAGAGGCTGGGAGCGAGCCGCCGTTCCCAGTAGCTCCCCCTTCGCCTTCTCCGCGGCCCTTGCCACATCCAGGGACACACAGGAGTTCGCGGAGCCCGCGGTCACCAAACTCGGAGAAGGAAGGACTGGAGCCCGGGACAGGGAGGGGGTAGCTTCCGTGTCCTAGGAGGTTTTCTAGAAAGGGTTTTGAGGTTGGGTGCTCAGGGTCGGCTTTTTCTAAGCCTACCTTCCATGTCCATTCTTTCTATGGATCCGAATCTTTTCAGAAAACCAGCAGAATCCAAGGGGAAACAGCTGGTTTTTGCAAAGAACGAGGGTAGCTTCCATGTCCCTTCCTTCCAACGAGGACTGGTGGGTTGGTTGCTTTTGTTTTTTTTTTGGTTGGGGGACCCTCCACATGGTTCTAGTGCTACCTTCCATGTCCATTCTTTCCAGGGATCCCAATGGGTCCAACATGATTCTGGAGCAAAAGGGAAGATTGTCAGAAGTCTAAGGGTACCTTCCCCGTTCTGTCCAGGGATCCGAATCTTTCTAGAGAACCTCCTGAAACCCAGGGAAAATAGATCCATTTTTTGAAAAGAAGGATGGTTGAAAAGAATGGGGAATCAACCCCTAGAAGGACTGGTTGCTGCCATGTGCTTTTGTTTCGGTCCCCGGACCAAAAATGAGAACATATGGCCATGGGTGGCAAAACCTATATGGCTTCATTTTGGGGTGGAGGAACATCCATTTGCAATTTTGATGTTCACCAGGGGTACAGGGTTTTGACCCACAGCCATATGCCCAGGGATAGATTGAAATTAAAACCAACAAGGGAAATCAAAACATGTTCTTGAGCAATTGGAAGGTTCATGAGAAATGGGAATCCAGGATTCAACCCGCGCAAGCTCAGCAGTTGGAGTGACCAGGAGAACCGAGGACTGCTTCAGTCACGAATGACCTTTCCAGAAATTGGATTCATCTCAGACGACTTGGTCTGGGATGGGAATCTGGATAAGGGTTCCTACTGTGGATGGACGAAATCCTGCACCACCTACGAAACCCTGGCATGCTGATTCCCGTGTAGATACCACCAACAGTGGTTTCCGATGGTTTCAAAGTGGTGCAGGATTTCGTCCACCCACAGTAGGGTGCCAAATCATCTGCGTAAGGTGGCAAGATCCATTTTGCCGACTTGCTCCATCCACACAGCTTTCCCACAAGCCCCGTTTGGCGAAGACTGCTTCGCTCTGGACAACTTAGGATTCGCAAGCCACAGGTTGATTGACAGGGGCGTGGCCGTTTTTAGTGGAACCCTGACTTTTGTGGGAGCACCCCCCCAACCATCCAACGGGTGGAGAAACTCCGGCTCACATGTGTAGTCCACGCAGAAATATCACTACGACATGCGATTTTTCTGGCAAGTCTCTGGTTCGGTCATTCACCCTTTGAACGCTACAAGCGGCACTCAAAAAAGGCACGTCTTTTTTTTCCATTGTGGACGGGGTCAGTCACATCACGTCGAGGGCGCCACTCTTTGCGAAGGTTGTTGCTTCCCACGAAGACTGCACCGATTCGAGCTGCCAGTCGGCTGGCTAGATTGGCTGCCTCGGCCGTTGCGCTGTTCTTACAGTTCAATGAGGAACTGCTGGCCGTGCGCATAGGTTGACGCGCCTTGACATGGGCACTCCCTTGTGGTAAACCGCATTGTAATTGTTCAAGTCTCACAGTATGCAGCAAGGACGCTGCCTCGTCTTCGTTTCTCTTCATGCAACACATGGATATGGGATGATGGCATCTTGGCAGCGCCGAGCTGTCAACTCACCTGACTCAGATTTCGGCGATTGTTGCACGTGTCTGCCGCAAAATAGTAAAACTACAGCCTGCCTAAATCGTAAAACTACAGCCTGAGGGATTCAAGCTGCCTCTGATGCCCCTAGGCAGGGAAGGAATCCCTCAGCCAAGGGCCTAAGACATCCACGGGACACGGCCAACCCATTGAGGCCAGCACAGCTTGACCTGCGTCGAGCCCGCAGCTCCAGGCGCATAGCAACGACTCATCCGGATGGACAACTTCCAGAGGGCAGTTTTGTTGGGTGCCTGGAAAAAAAGAGGGAAACTATGTCCAGTGAAATTGATTCCACGTAAAACCAACAAGGGAAAACAACATAAATGTTCCTGAGCAATTGGAAGACGCCACGCACTTGGCAGCTGGTTTAGTCCAGTCCATCCCAGGTGCAATGATTTTACCGGAACATCAAAGGCAAAGGGAAGAAAACACACATCTGGCAGCTGGTTTAGTCCTGTCCATCCCAGGTGCAATAATTTTACCGGAACATCAAAGGCAAAGGGAAGACAACACGCATTTGGCAGCTGGTTTAGTCCAGGCCATCCCAGGTGCAATAAGTTCACCAATTTTACCACAACAACAATGTAGGTTAGGGTCACCTCCACTGACTGCCAACAAACGTGGAGCCATGATCAAAAAACAAGCCACAAACGCCACACGGCCCAGCCACATCTTCCAACCTCCGCCTTTGCATGCTCACGACTTTGACCCGTGCAATCGAGACTAGGGCAGTACTGTGGATGGACGAAATCCTGCACCACCTAAGAAAAAAAACACGCATGATGATTCGCCTGTGAATACCCACGAACAACGGCTTCAACCATGGTTTCAAATGGTGCAAAATGGATTTTGTCCACTCACAGTAGGAACCCTTACCGAGATTCCCATCCCAGACCAAGTCGTATTCTGAGCTAAAGCCAATTCCCGGAAATTCAGTATGTTGTCGATGCTTGGTCTGGCTTGGGTTCAGTAACGTCCACTACTGAGGCGTTTGCAGCCCGAAAACCCACCGGGCTATGGCCTGCGCCAACGATGGCCACGCGGGGCGGCGGCCTCAGCCCGGTTCGGAACATCTCATGGGTTCCTTTTTTCTGAATGAAGTGGCGGTTTTTGAGGTACCTCTCTCAGCCAGGTTTGAGGCCTTCCCATTTAAGACGTAGTGGACTGGTCTTTGAGGTCTTCCAGGTTTGAGGAATACCTTTCAGCCTGGACCCTTTAGGTTTATAAGAACCCACGGGGTGTTATTTCATTTCGGTACCTCTTTCAGCCTGGTTTGAGGTCTTCCATTTTTAAGACGTAGTGGACTCTGGGACGACCAAATGCAATCCTTGCTTGTTTTGCAAGGCTTTTTCGAACATTTCGTTCGGCATGCTCCAACGGGCCTTTTGGGCGGCGTGCTAGCGCCTAGGTACAATCATGCGGTGGGATGCTTTGCGCTGTCCTCAGATCCCTTGAAAGCTGAACCGGTGGGTTAACCCGACCACTCAGCCAACCATGTCCTTACGGAACCCCTGGCCATTACTCTCCTTAGCTCCCTCTTTTTCCAAACTTGGATTCCCCATGTGGATGGACGAACTCCACTTCGCACCAAGAAACCCTCTTCCAGGATTCGATTCCCCTGTAAATACCAGCAAATGGGTTCAACCATTTCAGAGTGGTGCCTGGATTTCGCAACCACAGCTCCCGCCCCAAGGACGTCTAGACGGCTCGAGATCCCGACCCTGGAGACCCCGAGCTCCCGGCGCCGGCGCCTTGGAGCGGGGCCGCAACCGCAGCGCCTCCGCCTGACGGCAATCAGGGCCAAGCTTACGAGATTGGGATTACCCCCTGACCTTGGACGCGTTTCTGCTGTGCAAGTTGTCCCAAATTGTGGAATGTGAAAAAAAAGGGCGGCGTCAATGCCGGGGGTCCATGTTTGTTTATCCATCCGGACCAAAAACCAGACCTGCGGAATGGGTCACAGACCTTTCGTGTGCCATAGGATGATACAGGGCCCGTTCTTGTGCTAAATGCATGCTTTGGCAAAATGAAGAGTGCAGCGCTCTGTCGCCAGCGGCCGACAGCAGATCAACCCACCCAACTGCCAAGACACTGTGTGATGTCCTTGGCCCAAAGGAAAACATCACGCTGTCCGCAAATTACGTCTGCTACACAACCTCCAACTGGTGATTAGCAGACACACATTCCACTGGCCCACAAGCGGATTTGGGAGGATCTTCCATTATTCGGAGAAACTCGCAGACCGAATTTAGTGGATTTGGGAACAGACCCCCTTTTTGGTTGGTGGTCTTAAAGTCTGGACCTACCATGGGAAACATAATTCAATGGCCACCCGCGTGTCTGGTTGATTTAAAAGGGTTGGGCCCGATCAAAGAGGCGCCAACTCAGAAAATTGGGCGCTTGAGTGGATTGGCCTGTCTGAACTTCTCCACTAAAGTCTAACTGAACCGAGCCTCGCTGAATCCCAGGGTGTGATTTCACTATGACCAGGCTTCAAGGGCAACATCCGCTCTTGGAAACAAGAAACCGGGGCTTAGGTGGAGGCTTCAAATGGGCCAAAGCCAACGAAGTCTGCATAATCACGCAAGCTGGCAGCAACAGCTGGACACTACAACTACAGTATCTCAACTTCCAGTGGGCATTTGATGTGAATTCGCGATGTTGTGTTCATCCCCTTGAGCAGTATGTGTAGTTGCAAGCCAATCACACATCATATCAAAGAGCGGCTCACGGCAATTTGTCGCCGGTGGCTTGCCTTCCAATTGCCAGCGCTTTGGTATCAACCACGCAGCTGACCAAAAGAGCCAACATGCAGTGTGACGCCATGACACTCTGCACTGATTAGGCTGTGGGTCGAAACCAATGGTACCACTTTGGGGTAGGTGCACCACCCATTTTAGTCTATTTTAGTGGGGATTGGGATGTTCACTGGGGGTACGGGATTTTGACCCATGGCCATTAAAACAAGCAACGACCGATCAAGCAGAACAACATCAAGTAAATTATGTGCTGAATGCATTCATGCACTGCACCACCTGCTTGACACGATCGAAGCGGAGCGTGACTAACGGTGCGGCTGGCTTCGACATACCAGCGGTGGATACAAGAAATGACACCAAAACGCACAAATACTAAGCACATACACATCACTCAAACAATACAGGTAAACACATGGATTCTGCACCCACAATTCCCATTCCAGATCCAAACTGGTTGCTGTCTTGTTGATTCTCCAAGCAAGCTGAACATCCTTCAACTTACCCTCGGCTGCGAATACACCGTCACTCAGATGATACAACTTGAAATAGCTGGTTTTTGGGCTTGTGAACCGCGCCATCTTGGCCAAGACGTCCGCTTTCTGCAGCTGCGCATTGATGACCTCCATGCAAAGGGGGGCATCACTCAATGAGCGTGTCCGAAAACAAGGGTCTCGATTGCTTTGCCCGGTCTTGAGGAAGCAAGAGCGAACCCCCACTGTGGAGATGTGTGTTTTAGGAAACACCCAAATGGATACACATAGCCAAACACAATACGAATCAGCTTATCCATATTTGTCATTTACCGATAATACTAATAATCATACGAATCAACACGGTCATCCCTTGCCCAACTGACAAGCAGGACGATCTGGGCAACTCAACACCGGCGAGTCATTGTGCGGCGAACTCCTGTCCACAACGTATGGTGTGGTTTTTGAGGCAACGAAACAACAAGCCCGCCAACCAGTCAGGCAACCAACAAACCAACCAACCAACAAACCAACCCACCCACCCACCCACCCACCCACCAACCAACCAAATACCCTTCGGGGTGGCTTTCCAGGGACAAGGACAACCACCTATTGTTCGGGTTCAAATCCTGATTCGGACGGTTTCCCCGGCCCCATATCGAAACTCGTGTTCGAGCGCTCAGGCTGTCCGTTGCGCATAGAGCCTGCGGCTAAGCATACTGTTGTTTGCTCTGTCAATAGACTTGAAGATTGGCTGAGGTTGGGTGGTTCAGCACGGGAATTGAAATGTGAACACACAGAATGAAAGGTCAGGCGGTACGTGTTCTGGATCAAGCTCTCTGTTCAAACCAGACAAATGTGATATCAGCCAAAAGCATCCTACCGGCCCCCCATGGACCACACTGTGGCTTCAGGGGTGCGCTTTGCAGAAACGCACCGCTGATTTTGTGCTTCATAAGCCTCGGCAAGGGCTAGGGCTTCATAGGGTTTGGTAATAATCAGGCTTAGCTACAACTAAGTAAGGCATGACTTCCAATCAAGCTTGGACCTGAGTCGGACCTGAGTCTCTGAGTGCTACCAAGCAGCTGGAACCCCATGATCCCTACGCTTCTTTTCATTAGTCGTCCTGTGCACATGGAGTTGCTGCCCGTGTAGCCCTTGGCAGTACTAAGCAGTTCTTAGCACTTAGCGCTCATTGGCGCTCAATAACTCGCGCTCACAACAGAACAAAACTACGTACTGCAGATGGACGAAATCCATTTCGCATGAACCCTGTAGATATCACAACAATGGTTCCCCATTGTTTCTTGGGCGGTGCAGGACTTTGTCCATCCACAGTAAATAGATGGCCATGGTAGATGATTAAACCACGCGGGTAAACCAGGGCCATCTATTCGACCAAAAGAACCAAAGAGGACACCTATGGTCTGAAACCTATCGAATCATAATTTGAACATATTCGATCCCGGGGTAGTTCGAACCACGCAAAGAGGCGAGCTCAAGCCCTGTCAGATGCAAACGCTGATTCGCCGCTGGGGCTTAGGCGAAGGTGCGGTCGGCGTAGTCTGCCAACCTATGGCGCTCTCTGGCCACGGCCGGAGGCAGGGAACTGATGGAATCGCTTCACCAATAACGAGTCCGAGTATGGGCCTCATGGCGCTTCTTTTGACACGGAAGCCGTTTTTCAGCGTTGAGCCCTGGGTGCAATCCCTGCAGTTGGAAGAATTAGAGGCTTTATTGCCCTCAAGAGGATCCAACCTCCAGCCCCGGTCACTTCTCCAAAGGACAACTTGGGCCCCGGGCGCCAGGGAATTGTGGCCCGTGAAGAGCTTGAGCCGAGCTGCAAGGACCTGGCCATAGGTCAAGTTCTCTTCCAATTGGGATTTTCCCTTACCCAGGGGCTCCTGGCTTTGGCTGTCAATGGAAGACCCGACTCCATTAGACACCCGGAGGTGTTTGGGACGTCTCAAGACCTGGCCGTTTCCCGAAATACCTCGGGAGCCTCTGAGTACCAACATTCATCTACGCCGGGCTTTGATTGTTGCCGAGACCAACCTGGGCAGAACCGCGGGGGCGCCTCGGGAGGGGTGGTCTCCCCGGTGATCTGTCCGTCGGCGATGCCCTTCTCCCGCTGCAGGATGAAGTCTTCCGAGGCCTCACTGCAATCCCGGTCCTCAACTGCATTCTGTAAAACACAAATGCCGGAAAGCAACCGCACCGGGGTCCTCAACTGCATTTTGAGCAAATACAAAAAAAAACCATTGAAACACTAAGCCGAAATGAGCAAAACAAAATCTGGAATGGCAAGTCCAAGCCCCTTCTCTGATGGACCTGTTGGTGAGTTCAAGCACTTGACCAAGCTTGGAAAATCGAAACATCTGAAGGTCGATTCGCTTCGGAGAAAGTAAGATACCTAGATTGAAAATTGACCCGGGAACTCTGAACAGGGCAGTCCCTTCATTTTCCTTCAGTTCCCCTTCATTCCCTTTGGCTTCCCGTGCCCAATTCTCCGACGTGTGGGCGAGCAGAAATTCGGGCCTGGAGCAGCAACACGTGGGTCGGGACCTCGGTATAACCACGATGGTTCCATGAAATGCGACGGACTCGCAAGCCAACTCAAAGAATAAGCAAATAAAGTCAGTGATCAGGACAGGACTGGTGACAAAGACATGAACACACCTAGACACAAGGGGCACCGATGCTGGTCATGGCAAAGCCTCTCCTGTTCCAGACCTTGTTGCTCGGCTGCGCTGTTTGAGTGGCTGCTTCAAGCCATTCCCTCCACATCTAGGCGAACCTTCACATTGATCACCGTCCCTACTGGGCTCAATTTACTGTTGCACCTCAGCATGGTTGCGTAACATTGCGGCCAAAACGTATGTGTTGCCCGCGACCGCCCGGAAGCGGGTCCCCGAGACCTCCAAAACGCGAGGCAGGCGCAGCAAAAACGCAGTTCCGAGCCCCCCGGGCCCCACCCCAGCTCCATACCCCCTTCATGGAGCGCGGCGACTTTCCCTGGTTATATACAGCTACAACCCTGAACCTAAACCAGAAAAGCCAGCCTCAGATGCGCCGGACAGCCAGCTCCAAGCAAACCTAAGCCCTAGAAACCCTAAACCTAAACCCTAAACACCCTAAACCTAAACCCAAAGACCCTAAACCTAAGCCCTAAAAACCCTAGAAACCTAAACCCTAAAACCCCTAAACCTAAACCCTAACAACCCAAAACCCAAACCTTAGAAACCTTAAACCTAAACACTAAAAACCTTAAACACAAACACTAAAAACCCTAAACCTAAACCCTAAAAACCTTAAACCTAAACCCTAAAAACCCTAAACCTAAACCCTAAGAACCCTAAACCTGCCAACACGATCATACAGCATAATAAGACCTTGTGGGCGACACGTATGTTTTGTGGTTAACATTGCCAAATGATTTTGACATCCTCTTTGCCATTGCAAAACTCCTGCGCCAGCAGAAGGCACTATTTCCTTGACAACACAATCAATAGATTTAAGCTCCCACATTCATCCATCTTCATCAATTTCACGGCCATTGTTGGAGTTATCCCATATATCATTGATTTGCAAGACACAGCTACGCAAAACTGTCGCGAGAAAAAAACAAGTTACGTTCGCAACTCCATCGCGAATCTTTCGCGGAGCTACCTCAACCAACACCGGTCGCCGAATACTAACCTCCTTACAAGAACCTTTAGAACGACTCCCATATACATCAGCAGCCCAATGTACAAATCTCGGAAGCAAGCTTTGTGAACGGCTTACTCGTGGGAGGTAGAGTGCCCATTTGGGGTACGTCAAGTACAGGCCAAAAGCTCAGCTGTCTGTCTGGGATTCACTTTTGGAGTTGTGATACAAACACGCCCAAATCATTGCTGTATCTATTAGGGGGCAAAAGTGTCTCTTGGTCGCAAAGATGCTGCGAAAACTGACGCATCTAAATGCCAAGACGCTATGGCCTTCTCCTTGAGGAACGTAGTCTGGCACGCCGTCCTGACGCTACGTCCGTCCCCTAGCGGCCTCCCAGTCTGATGAAGCACAGCTAGCAGGTTCCTGAACAGCACGTGGGCACGAAGTCTTCAAGACCCACACCTGCAAGCAGCACCCAATGCCTGTTCTGCAGGGTTGATTTCAACTGGGTTTCCCTTCAGACCCCATTTCACGTGACTTCATTTTTCTGTCCCCTCTCCGATTTGGCTGGAATTCAACAGGGAACACCCTGAAACATGGTTGGTGGACAGACATCCCAATGTACTTCTGGCCACCCGAGGGGCCAAACAATTGAAATTCAGGGCCATTTCTCGGTGAGGTGCTTGTTTGTGGGAGGAAACGTACCTATTTGGCCATGGGTCAACAGCCCGTACCTCCAGTGAACATCCCAATCCCCACCAAAATAGACTAAAATGGGTGATGCACCTACCCCAAAATGGTACCTTGGTTTTGACCCACAGCCATTTATCCAACAGGCACTCCATTGGTGAAGAGTAGATGGTACAATTCCTTTTGAGCAAGTAAAGGGGATGACATGGGATGACTTAAGCCAGAGGGGGCACCCAACAGCCCCATTGGACATCCCCCCGAACCCGCCCAGATTGGCTCTTCGGCCTGGGGAAGCCGTCGATCACAAAGCCCTGCATCTTGTGCTCTGCCTGGCCAGCCAGGAAAAACCTCGTCTCATGTCCTTCCATGTGCTTTCTCGCCCCCTGGTAAAAAATATGGCCAGTAGTGAAACCGATTCCCTTCAAAACCGGCTATAGGGACAATATAAACAACATGTTCATTTCAGCAAATGGAAGCTTCCTGAGTGGATTGGCCAAACACAGCCTAAAGTCTTGGTTTAACAAGTGCAAGTTCCAGCAGCTCGGGGGGTGAGTTGATTCCATCTACCCACAGCCCGGGTTTCTCTTGAGACGCCATGTCCTCACCGGTAAGGTAGCCTTGCAAATCAACACACTCTGCGAGTTGTTCGAACTCTCTCCCGGGAAACCTCCCAATTGGAATCAGAAGGGCCCGCCATGGGGCTTGCGTTGGTGAAATACCTGACAAAATTAAGAAATATTCTTGCAGTGGGTGGCCTTCTCCAAAAAACACCAAAGACCGCATGTGCGAGTAAGGCGCATGCATCCATGCCAAGGTGTAAAAAAGGCTGATTTCAAAAACACAGGCCCCATGGCGGGCCACTCTCTTTGGGATCCCTTTGCTGGTTGCTTACAATTTGGACAATGCAAAAACCCTCATTTGCCGATCCCCCAAACACAAGGCAGTGGCTAGGCGTGAGGTAACCTAGGTCCTCCAGTAGAGAGGTTAGAATAAGGGTACCAACTTGTTTCTTTTTTGTCTACTATTTTAGTAGGGAACCCTCCCAACCAACAATGAAACGGTAAAAGGGCACCTAGCTGGGGGACCTAGTAACCCCCCCCAGGGCTGCCGCCTGTTTCACCAGCTCCAGGACCAGCTTCGACACCTCTGTGTCCTCTGCAAAGCTTAGATCCCTCGTCTTCACCTCGGGGCTGGCGAAAGCCGGAAGTGGATCTGGCGCAGATCGAGGCGGGTTCCTCCCAAAAAGGAAAGGCGAGAAGGAAGGCAACAAGAAAACCGTGAAGAGAAAAACAAGAAGAGCAGAAGGTCAAAAGAGTGACTTGGAACATGAGAGGCTCGGAAAAAAAAGCAACCTGGGGATGGGTGCCTCTGATGCAGAGCAGCTGAAACCAACCAGGCATTTGACATGGGTATGTGTCAAAATAGGGGTACCCCAAAAGCAGATCTTCCATAAGGCATCACCTCATGGCGCGCGAGCGGAGCGCTGGGAAGCCGCGCGCCTGCCTCCCGCAGCAGCTCTCCTGCACCGATGTAGATGAGGCCCAAGCGCTCTGCCAAGCTCCTGCGAATTGGTTGGATGGCTGGCTGGCTGGTTGGCTCTGGTTGGTTGGTTGGTTGGTTGGCTGGCTGGCTGGCTGGTTGGTTGGTTGGTTGGTTGGTTGGTTGGTTGGTTGGTTGGTTGGTTGGTTGATTACCAAAACACGGGTTCTTGGGCTTTAGCCAGCTCCGCCCCGTTGTCGGAATGACTGGGAGGGGGGGATAAACCAACAGCGTCGGTCCTGGCGATCTCTTCACGGCCTTAGAGGTGCGAAAAGCAGAAATGCGGATTGGTCGAGTGACATGGCCAAATCTGTTGGGCAAGATCAACTCAGGGAATGATGTACGATCCGATTGGTTTTCTGTGCATGCTAACATTGTTGTTGTTGCTCCCTTAGGCTAGCCTTGGGCTCCCTGCAACAAGTGAAAACTATTTGCTTCTTGGTGAAAGGCAAAGTGATGGGAATATGGAGGGGCACCACACATGCAAAAATGTTACACTCGTTGTTAACAAAACCAAGTCTGGCCATGCTTCCAGGGTCTCAGCAACTTCCATGCTGTGAGAAGGAAACTGAAGCAATTCATTGAAAACCCACAAACGCCACGACGAACGCCACGGATGTGTGTGTGTGTGTGTGTGTGTGTGTGGTGTGTGTGTGTGTGTGCGTGTGCGTGCGTGCGTGCGTGCGTGCGTGCGTGCGTGCGTGCGTGCGTGCGTGCGTGCGTGCGTGGGTGTGTGTGTGTGTGTCATGAGTTCGCAAAATTCGTCCCATGGCAAGAATCCGGACCCTGGATATTGCGAAAAAGGCTGGGATGTGCCCACCGCTGTCTCGTCGTTCCAACTGCCACTCCACCATTCCATTCGCAAGTGGACATTTCGCCAGGATTCCCTGAACAACATTGTGGCGGATCAGGTTGTCAGTTTGTATAGGCTGGGGGGGGGGCCTCCTGGTTGATATAATTTGGAACCTCGACCCGCAAGCCAAATTGCCCCATGGGACCGTTCACCATCTTCGAGTTGTCCCAGATGCCAAGGATCTCTTTGATTGCATGTGTTGAAGTGTGAGTCACAACCATCGTTGTCAGTCTCTGCGGAATGCAACAAACATTCTGTGCAAAGATTCTCATGCACAGGGCGGTTGGCGTTGTCCCTCAAATCTTCTTTGCACCAACAAGGGTATCATGCGAATGTCCGTGGGAGCAGTCTTTTTAGGCGTAAATGAGAGAATGCCATTCTCATGAAAGGGTTGATAGTTGCGGGCAAATGTAAGATGCGCGCCACCAGACCCCGGAGAAGGTGGCAAAACCTGTCGCCAAGTTGCAGATGCCTGGTGGTGAGGACACAATCACCTAAGAACCGGCGGAAAGGCGTTAACCGACGGGGGATTAGCAAAATGTCCGTATAGGGCCACTCAATTGGTGCCTTGTTCAAGTGACAAACGGAGGCTGAAATCACAACGCGGCAAATGACTCATTGCACTTGCATCTGTAAGGTGGGGTGCTAATAAACAGCACACCGCCCTGGAGCTACTTCTGCACAAGTCGAGTGTGCAAACTGCAGGGACCCTGAAGTTGGCATGCGTGCCTTCCTCCGCAATCGTCAAAGCTGAAAGCTTGCAGCATGTGCATGATGCATGTTGGACTCAGCTTGAGGTCGCAAGCAACGGCATTTCTGCGGTGTGGGTTTTGCCTTTGCAATAGACCTGCATTTCGCCAAGGCCTCAATGGCTTGCCCCATTGCATCCCCTCGATCGAGTCTTCAGCTGAAAGCTCAGCCAGGGTTTAGCAGCGTTGAGCTACATTGGGGGGCCGGTTTGCTGGAGCCTGGCTTCTTGGGGCAAATAGGACATCATAGCCCTAGCATCATCACAATATGTATTCCAGCTTGATTTTGATGCTTGCTTGTCCTGACTTGTTGGACATGCGCAAAGGACATGCGCAAACATTTTGTGTGCCTCTGCAGTTTTGTGGATTCGATTCGCGCCCCTGTTCCAGTCGTCAGCTTTCTACCAGGCGATGGCATGAGTAGAGTTGTGGTGCCTGCCTGTGGGGTGTGTGCGTGCGGGCGGGCGGGGAGGGCGGGGACGTCGGCGGGTCGGTGCGCATGCGTGCTTGCTTGCTTGCTTGCTTGCTTGCTTGCTTGCTTGCTTGCTTGCTTGCTTGCTTGCTTGCTTGCTTGCTTGCTTGCTTGCTTGCTTGCTTGCTTGCTTGCTTGCTTGCTTGCTTGCTTGCTTGCTTGCTTGCTTGCTTGCTTGCTTGCTTGCTTGCTTGCTTGCTTGCGAGTGTGTGTGTGTGTGTGTTTGTGTGTTTGTGTGTGTGTGTGTCTGTGTGTGCTTGTGTGCTTGTGTGCTTGTGTGCTTGTGTGTTTGTGTGTTTGTGTGTGTGTGTGTGTTGTGTGTGTGTTGTGTGTGTGTGTGTTGTGTGTGTGTGTGTTGTGTCTGTGTTTGTGTGTTTGTGTGTTTGTGTGTTTGTGTGTTTGTGTGCTTGTGTGCTTGTGTTCTTGTGTGTGTGTGTGTGTGTGTCTGTGTGTGCTTGTGTGCTTGTGTGCTTGTGTGCTGTGTGTGTTGTGTGTGTGTGTGTGTGTGTGTGTGTGTGTGTGTGTGTGTGTGTGTGTGTGTGTGTGTGTGTGTGTGTGTGTGTGTGTGTGTGTGTGTGTGTGTGTGTGTGTGTGTGTGTGTGTGTGTGTGTGTGTGTGTGTGTGTGTGTGTGTGTGTGTGTGTGTGTGTGTGTGTGTGTGTGTGTGTGTGTGTGTGTGTGTGTGTGTGTGTGTGTGTGTGTGTGTGTGTGTGTGTGTGTGTGTGTGTGTGTGTGTGTGTGTGTGTGTGTGTGTGTGTGTGTGTGTGTGTGTGTGTGTTTGTGTGTGTGTGTGTTTGTTCCTCTTGTGTCCTTTGAATGTTCTCTCTAGTCGTGGCCTATGGCTAAACTTTGGATGTGGCTCGTGGCCTTGTAGCCTTAGCGAGTTGCCTCTTTCGAATGATGCCCGATGCCTTTTTGTGTTGATTTCCCTGGCGTGTTCGTGGCCATGTTTCCTTGGTGTGAGTTTTCTTCGGATGCTGTTTGTGGCCGTGGGGTGTTTGTCCCTTTTGGATGTTGCTTGTGGCCTTGGTGTGTATTCATTCATTGCAAAGAGCGTCAGCGCCCGGCGCAGCGAGTTTGAAACACTATTCGTCTGCATTTGTCAGCTGTGAGAAAATTGGAAACAAGGATCCCCGCACCCATGTCTCACTGCAGAATACTCTGGCGATGATCCTACATTCACTTGATTCAGTGTGCGACTGACGCTTTGAGGTGTGTAACTTACACAAACAACATCATCTTGGAACAGCCGTGGAAGAACAATGCATGGTTAACATATTATGTAATCAGCAAATTGTCCAACTATAAGGCAAACTCGCCTGAAAAATCGAACAAGCGCAAGCCTGCAAGCCTAGAGTCGCTCTGGCCAATATGTTCTCCCATGTGAAAAAGGCAGAAAGAGTGTAGCCATCTTTTCTCCGTTGCAGACCTTGCCGCCTGCTAACGGCCACACACACCATTGGCAAGAGACAGCGAGGGATAAGCAGCTCGAATATTTCACACTTTCACACACTCCACCTTGTAAGACCAATGTGTTGAAAGGAAACATGGCTCTGTCACAACCTGTGTTCATCGTCAAGAGGAACTTGGGAAACACAATAAGATGCGTCCCAATATTGGCTTGAAAGAGCATGGACGCCGATTCAGGTTCAGTCCAACTGGATGGCGCTTGCGGGAAAACGGCGGCGACACTACATCCAGCCTGGGAAAGCCACTACAACAATATACATTCGCAAGCGCTTCTAGTCTTGAAACGTGGCCAAGCAACTTCTCGTGTGAGGTCTGTTTTGTTTTTTTTCCCACGGGTTCCCTTTTTGCCGGTTGACTGGAAGGAAGAAAACCAAAAAAGCGCCAGGCATCGGATCAGACTCTCAGAAGGCCACTTTCAGCGGACCATCCGGATGGCCCTTCTCCAGGCAATCGAGCCTAGGCGCGGAAGGGGCTGAGGGTGGGGACTTGGCGAAGTGGTTGGGAACCCGGGGTTTGACTCAATGGGACACCGGCATGGGGTAGAACTTATGAATATTTTTACTAATTAAATAGAAGAGTGCCGGAACATCTAAGTCGCCCCAAATGATGTCGACCCCGGAATCAACCCGGTGGACAGTTAGGGGAGTGTTTTGCCAGGAACCCAGGAAGCACGCCACTATAAAGGAGCTTGGTGTTTCTTGATGCTGGGTAACAAATGCAAGCTAAGGACAATATGCACAAAATTTGATCACATTCTAGTTACAGTATCATTCGCGGCCAGTCTGGCATATAAACACGGAAGTGCAGTGGTGCACGCTTTTTCCAAAAGAACAGGCGTGGTCCCAAAGAAGCCTGCTCATTTCAATGCTTGGTTTGTGGAAGGCTACATGTTTGTGGTTGGGTGGAACTTTACGCTGAGATTGACCTTGCCACATCCACGCACGACCCTATTGTCGTGGGCAAGGTCAAAGACGAAAAGGCAGCATCGCCGTGCCCTTGCTTCTTCTCAGTATAGACCGCATCCGCGGACTCACGGACCAGTCCTTGACAGACCTTTTTTTTTTGCGAATCTTCGCGCAGCAACCGCTGACCAAGTTCGCCCGGAGCCGCAGGCGCAACTTCGACCTTGGCCTTCCCTGAGGTACATTGTACAAACATCGCTTCGGCCGGGTGAGCAAAACCCAGTCATCGGCAAGCGCGAAAGTGCGAAAGTCGACGGCTGTTGATAGAGAACTCCCACCACGCGAGAGCTGAGTCCGGCCCGCTCAACTTCGTAACGAGAACAACATCTCCCAGGTCAGAAGCGTATGCTGCAAGAGCCCTAGATATTGTTGATGCCGCTCTCCAGCTGGACTGACCATGGCGATTCAGCTTCTGTGGGACATACTTCTCAACTTTGTCCAGGAGGACAGAATCCGAGTGTCCAACTGTTTTGCACTACTTGTAGGATTGATGACCATTCTTAGTAGTAGCCGTTTCTCAGGTCCCCAGAAAGAGTCCCCCAGGCCCAATAGCAATAGGGGCCGAAAGTGCTTCACAGCCGATCGGCAGGCTGAAAGTTGGGTCTCCTGCTCAAGCCTCCAGCCCTTGCTCCGAGGGCACCTTGCTTTGAGAGGCACTTAACAGGCCATAAGAAACATCTCCATGCCTTTTCAGAGATGAACCTGTTCGGGTTCAACAAGCATCGGCCAGCAGCTAGAAGACGGTTTAAGGACGACATCTCGTGTCGGGACGGGGAAATGCAGCAAGACTGCCCATGTGCTCCATGTCCGGAACAGTCTCTCAGCATTCTACCGAATAACAAGTGAAACTAAGTTGGATAATACAACATATAGCAACATAGTATGTTTCCTTTTGCGGTCATGGCACCTTTGCCAACAAGTTCTAAATGGCCATGGGTCAAAATCCCGTACCCCCAGTAAACATCCCAATCCCCACTGAAATAGACTAAAATGAGTGGTGAATTCACCTTTCCCAAAATGGGATCCCATTGGTTTTGACCCACAGCCAAATCATTTCCATCGTACGGAACTTGACAAGAGGTGTGGGGTGTCGGGATGTCCTTGAATTTCTGTGGAGGAAATCCTGGAACATCTGGAATGGATCATACCCTGAGAACGAGCAAACCTTGGTTGACATCGGAAGGGGAGCAAACAATTAAAATTTAGCAGTTAAGTGGGGATTTCCCACTAATCCGCAACAAGCAAACACGTAACATGTTTCCCAACAACAACCATGAAACATCCATCACTCAAAGGAGAGGGAAACACAGTTTTGTCAACAACGGGGGAACCCGGGACCTTAAAAGGAACGAACCCCTCCGTGACTGCGACCTCTCCCTTAACCTTGGGGCTAGCGCGAGCAACGCGCTGTTTTCAGCACTTGAGCCAAAGCAGTGATTGGATCATGCTCTGGCAATGACTTGAATGTACAACATGCAACTGACTACATGAGAACCTACCTCATGTACCTCTGGGCCATAAATGTCATCGTGATAATTGACTCCCCCCTCATTGACGGCACTGAGGGAGTGTCTTGGGCGCATTACCACGCCAACTTGAAGTCAAGTTTACATCACAACGACTGACACAAGTTATTCAAGCATCACCCAGGCACTTTGCACACTTTTGGAAATTTTGCGGACATGCTGCAGCGCACTAGGCAGCTGCTTTAGCGGCTCTACTTTCACGAACGTCTTCAAGCTTCTCTGGAAGGTCAACACGAATGCCGAGCAACCGGATGGCATGGTCCCACTTGTTGGGTGGAAGTGCTTTCGTGAAGATGTCCGCTGACTGCATGTCGGTTTGGACGTATTCTATCGAGATGTGTTCGCTTTCAAGCTGCTCTGCGATGCACGCGAGATTCACCTTGTGCGTTCGCTGGACACAGCGTAGCTTAGATGAGAAACCTTTTCTCGCTACGAGGATAGTCGCCTGATTGTCCTCGTGGATCTTGAGATGGAATGGTCGGTCCAAGATAAGCTCCCACAAGCTAAGCGCAGGGAGCGCCTCCTGATAAAGGGAGTATGCGAGAGATACAATCTCCGCCTCGGTTGTCGATCGGGAGACCGATGTCTGCCTTTTGGACACCCACGCAAGTGGAAAATGCGTGTGCGGACCACTCAAAATCAAGAATCCTCCGGACGTGGATTTTGCGTCCCGTTCTCCAGCGAAATCGGCGTCCACATATAGAGACAGATGCAAATCCTCAGTCGAATCTTGAACTGTGCCTACTAGCGTGCTGTTGACCGTGCTGTTTATGTAGCAAACAAGCCTATGTAGCTGCTTATCGCAGTTTCTAGACCATTTTTGAACAAATGAGGCAAGGTCGCCAATGGGCTTGACCAGGTCTGGGCGTGCCAAACGGCCGAGCCATAAGGCTTTCATCAACACGCGGCAAGCGGCGAAGCCGAGCTCACCCTCCAAGGCGTCATCTGCAGGATCGAGGGATCCAGCGGGACAGAATGGAGTGGTGGCATCACGCAACTTTTCACTTTTTAGCTGTGCAACCTCAAGATATAATGCCACCGTTTGACGGGCATAATCCCGCATGTCGAACGCCATGCCCCCTTTCAATCTGCCCATTGCGGCATTAAGATCGGGTTCAGTTGGGTCCTTTGGAGCATCTATCAAAAGGTGGTTCCTGCCTAGCACCCGATATATGTCTTCTGGGGGTTCTATATCAACCAGTCTTGTTAACTTTTCCCAGAAGTCTTTATGAAGGTGGCTGGGGCCGGCCAACGTCAAGTCGTCGACGTATGTCGAGAGAAGTAACCCGGACTCCTTGAACCAGAAGTTTCCAGGAAACTCTGCGACCTCACGCCCTCCAAGTTCACTAATGAACCCTTTGAGGTGTGCCTCCCAGAGTCCGCCAGCGTCAGGATGCCCATAAAGAGCTTTAACGAGCAAAACCACAGGTTTCACGAAACGCTCGCGCCACCACCTTGGCCGGAGCTCAGGCGGGAGTGTGATCCAAGTTTGGTACTTGGACTTCAGCAGTGCTTGCACATAAGCCTTTATAGCGTCCGCTGTTGTGGTGGAATTCCCTGGCAGGGATCCATAAGCGAGACAGTTATTAAGACCTTGTACGCTCGTGGGATTTGCTCCCAACTCTTGGTAGACAGCTGCTGCGCCATGTTCATCTTTCGCACAGTCTCCGCGATACACAATCCTACCTTTCATCTTCTGAAGGTGTTTCGCGAGTTCGGCGAACTTGACGGATGCTAATGACATCAACTGCCCGAAATGGACTTTTATACTGGATCGTCGCGCCTCAGCAGCGACTTGATCATACTCTCGGACTGAATTTAGATCCCAAGCACCGGCTTTCTCCAGGCCTGCGGCTTCAAGTCGAACGGCTTCAAGAGCTTCCGAGGAAGCCAACATTTCGGCACGTGACAAGAGTCTGGTCACCATTGCGGTGATCTCAGGATCCTTCTTCTCCTTGACTTGTCCTAGGGAATGTGCGATGAGACTTTCAACATCAAGAACTTGTTCAAGGATGTCGTGACACTTTTCATCGGACTCAACAGCAACACCTATATCTTCCAAACCAGAGAGAGGGGATATGTGCTTCAACTGCTGTTCACGTTCCCGGTGATCGAGAGGCAATGGCACTTGGACAGGCATCGCAGGCACAACGGGTTGAACTGTCGGATACAGCGCACGGGCAACTGTGAGGCACATGCCTTCGGGGTAGAAAGCGGTCTTTGCGGTCTTGTTGCCTGCTGCAAGCGAATGCTTATACCCTTTTTCGTGCGGACACTTGAATGCACCGACTTTCCATGGCTTCTTGATGGGATAACCATTGCTGTCCTTCAGACCTAGGGCGCAACCATGGAAGGTCGCTGGGGTGAAGACGTGTGCGTATTCTCTAAAGAATGCAGAAACATCATCCCTAGCCCAGCTGTCGCAATCCCTTGGCCATTCAAACGAAACACTACCCCCCTGATGGAGGACAGTCTCTGCGTGACGTCTGAATCTGGAGAACAACTCTCTTGACTCTCTAACCTTTTGCTTTAGTTTCTTTTTGAACTGGCTTCCTAACTTGGCCTTATTAAGGCGTTGCCATGCTGAACCTGATGTACAGGGAATTGCAGCCCAGAGATTGGGTTTATCACAACCTTCAATCTGTGACTGCAACTGGATTTCTCCTTCATCTGTGCTAAGGTCGATAAACTCTTTAGCCAGCCTAACATGAGGTATGCCAAGACCTTCAAACACGCGACCCATGTTGGACTCTGGTGAACATGCGTATTCGAACATCACAGGCAATTTGTCAATACGTGCCTGTTTCTTGCGGGCACGATGATTTCCAACCTCAAAATGGTTGCGCTGTGGAGCTTCAACTTCTGCGCTGCATGGCATGCCAAAAATTGGCAATGTGTTCGGACGACCGTTCTTTGACGCTTCGGTGAGAGGTGTCGGCGGTACGGAGTCTAACATCACGGCTGCACC